ACCACAGAAAATTGGGTGCACTGGCGTGGACTATGGAGGTGCGAGCTACCTCGATGACTAGGCCGATGCGTTGCTCAGCGACCCCATTCTGCTGTGAGGAGTCCGAGAGTATGTATGACTGGGTGATGCCCTCCGCACGACAGAACCGGCCAAGCCGGCCGGAGGCAAACTCGCCTCCACGGGCGGAGTGTAGACGAAGCATATGCTGGGCACGGCGGACTCGGGCAGCTACAAGCCACGGGATAAGAACGTCGGGCACGTCGGTCTTCCTCTCTAGGGGAAACACCGTGGTGTAGCACGAGTAGTCGTCTACGAGAACCAGGAAGTAGGGCTCGCGACGCTGCCCAGGGTCTGGTGCTGGGCCCCAGACATCCAGGTGCAGGGTCTGAAGTAGCGCAGTGGTGGGGGGATGTGCTGACATGTAAGAGAGCCAGAGGGAACCGCCGGAAAAGGAAGTCTGGTAGAGCTGCGTGCAAACTACCGGACCGAAGGAGGGGTCTGTACGAGAGACTGCTGCTGGTGCAAAAAGCGACGTGAGAGTGGTGTGGTCGCGAAAGAAGCAAGCCGACGCACCGGAGTCCAACGTGAAGGAGAGCGCGGCGGTAGCATCGGGCGGCGGGGGAGCATGGGTAGAACCAAGGCGACACAAGTTAGGAGGTCCTACACGGCGGTCAGCGGGTCCTATGCTTGACGCAGCAAGGGAGCCTAGACTACACACAGGAGATACGCCTAGTCTAGGCAACGAAGGATAATAAGGTCTAGTAACAATAGAGTCATCAGCACATATAGTATACAAGACAAATCGGATCTGATCCATATCCATCTCAAAGACCGGTACACGGTGATGTACCAAGCTCTACCGGTCCGGGAGGGCCGGATCGGACACGAAGCGGAGACGGAAAAGGTCGTCAAGGCGGCGGTAGCAGCGAGTAGCGATATAACCAGGGCGGTCACAGACGGTGCCACGGAGGGGACCGGTCTAGATCTGGTACTGGAAACTCACAGAACTAGAGCTGCCACCCGACGTGGAACTGCGAGGGCCACCGCCGCAGCCACTACCACCAAAGCCACTGAGCCATCACGACGGCGGGAGCCCCCACTGCTGCGGCCGTTGTTGCTGCAGCCGCTGCTCCTGCTGCTGCTACTGCTTCTCTGGGGCCTCAGGGCCCACCCCCTCGTCCGCACCCCCAGCGCTGCCACCAATCCCACCACCCTCGCCACCCCCACCACCCTTCCCTCCCCCACGCCCCCCTCTGGGGCGACGGGCGCATCTACCCTGACGAGGCTGCGCTGACGCCGCCGCAGCGGTCTCAGGGACAGGGGCTGTCTCAACGACAGCGGTTGTCTCAGGGACAGCGGCGGAGGCATCAGAGTAAGTGCACTGGGAGAGCACAACCCTGGAAGATAGGGATCTCCGCAATACCGTTAGACTGAGCAATAGTGCGCTGGCCGGTCTCTATTGCCAACAGGGTGGCGACAAAGGCATCAAGTGTGAGGTCAGCGGGGTGGAGACTAAGAAAGGTATCACGGGCGGTTGCTAGGCGGTCAGGGAGGCGCTTGGCGAGGAAATATAGAGTGGCGCCGATGGGAGGCGGGAGGACAGTGAGCTGAGGCTAGCAGTGCGGTAGCTAGACTCGAGAGCACGCAGGTGGTTGGCCGGATCAGCGACAGTGGGGAATGACGCGAGGTCAGGGAAGAGCAAGGGCATGAGGAGACGGCCAGCAGAGGTGGAGGAGGGAGTGGAATAGCAAGCGATAACTGCATCTAGATATTCCTTCGTAGTCTTTATGGCTTTAAACCGGGGACGCTCGGGCAGCGGGAGGGCGTGACTAATGGCTAGCTGCGCAGTAGCGTCACGAGAATCCCAGACAGAGCGAGCGAACTCAGCAGCTGCGAAAACCTCACGTTCAACAGACGTGGCAACGGCAGCGAGGGCAGTAGGCACGGTAGGGTAGGGTAGCTTACCGACGACGTGAACAGCCAGAGACTGGCCATCATGGCGCTGACCCTTCAGGTGGCGACACAGGTCGGCGAGCCATGCCTCAATGCCCACCGCGCGGCCCTCGGCGTCCAGGCGGAGGACGGCGTCCGCCATGGTGTCCGCACGACAGCACAGCTGCAGCAGCTGAGGACAAAGGAGGAGGAGGAGGAGCCGGAAGCATACACGTGCGGTGGAGTGCGGTGGAGCGCAATGGGGAGCGGTGGAGTGAAGTGGAGCGCGATGGGGAGCAGTGGAGTGCGGTGGAGGGCGGTGTAGCTAGGGTCGGCGGCAAGTAGAGGCCGAGCACGGCGCAGAGGAGAGGCCGGCGCGGCGGCGAGAAGAGGTTGGTGCGGCGAGCAAGGTCCGGCGGCGAGCAGCCGCATTGAGCAGAGGCAGGTGCGGACAGAGGCCGACGCAGCGAGCAGGGGCCGGCTCGTGCTGGGGCCGGCGCGGCGAGCAGAAGCAAGCGCGGCGGGCGGGGCCGGCGGCTCGCTGGGGTCGGCGCTGAGAGCGGGGCTTGACGCGGCGAGCTGGGGCCGACGCGACGAGCTGAGACCGACGCGGCGAGCAAGGGCCGGCACGGCAAGAAGGGGCCGGCAGCGAATTGAGGCCAGCGCGGCGAGGGGGGTCCGGCACGGCGGCTCACTAGGGCGTGGCGCGCTAAAGGGCAGGGCACTTTAAGGGCGGGACGCTCTAGGGCTAAGGTAGGCTAGGGCGGAAGCGCGGGTGGGTGGGACCTACATAGTGTGATACCATGTTAGAATACCGAAGTGAACTCTAGGAAGGCATATAGGGTGATCTAAGGATTTGGTGTTGTACTCTGTAAGAACACCTACCCATCTAGCCTATGACTATACATTCAGCAGTACGTATAAGTTGACAAACACAACCCCCCTCAACAGCCGCTGCTTTTTCCTCTGCCCCTTCTACTTCTGGCGTTGCTGGCAGCGTTTCTTCAACCGCTTGTAACAACTGCAGCGTTTCTTCAACTCCACTTAAAAACATTTGCCAAGGCTCAACCCCCTTCAACAGCCGCTGCTTCTTCCTCTGCCCCTTCTAGTTCTGGAGCTGCTGGCAGCGTTTCCTCAACCGCTTGTAGCAGGTGCTCCACCCTGTCGCCTGGTAGGCGCATTTCACAGTCCGATATGATCTGGACAGGGGAAGAGAGGGGAAGAGAGGAAAAGAGAGGGGAAGAGAGGGGAAGGAGAGAAGGGACGGAAGGGATCGAGGTGAAGAAAGGGGGACAGGAAGCCACAGCGGTTCCTCGAGTGCCTCCTCCACCCTGTCGCCTGGCAGCCGCTTCTCGCGGTCTGATATGATCTGGATAGGGGGAGACAGGGGAAGGAGAGAAGGGACGAAAAGTATCGAGGTGAACAAAAGGGGGACAAGGAGCGGTCCCAGTGTTTCTTTGACTGCCTGCTCCACCCTGTCGCCTGGCAGCCGCATCTCACAGTCGGATATGATCTGAGAACAGGGGGAGGGGAAGGAGAGAAGGGACGGAAAGGATCGAGGTGAACGAAAGGGGAACTGGGAGCGGACTGCCTGCTCCACCCTGTCAGCCAGTAGCCGCATCTCACAATCCGATATGATCTGGATAGGGGGAAGAGAGGGGAAGAGAGGGGAAGAGGGGAAGGGAGGATTTGAGTCACTACAAATCGCAGCTGCAATTTTCTCTGCCGCTTGTAGTAGCTGCTCTACCCTGTCGCCTGGCAGACGCAATTCACAGTCCGATACGATCTGCAGATGGGGGAGGAGGGGACGGGAGCAGGGATCTGCAAATCGACTCCCTGCTCCACCCTGTCGCCTGGCAGCCGCATCTCCCTATCACAGCCCGATTGGATCTGCAGCGGGGGAGGAGAGAAGGGACGGAAGGGACCGAGGTGAGTGAAAGGGGGACAGGGAGCGGCCACAGTGGTGCCTCCACTGCCTGCTCCACCCTGTCGCCTGGCAGCCGCATCTCCCTTTCACAGCCCGATTGGATCTGCAGAGGGGGAAGGAGGGGACGGGAGCAGAGAACTTTCATCAAATTGTAGCTGCTTGTTCCCCAACCGCTTCTAGTAGTTTCTCAATCCTATCCTAACGCCCGGCAGGCGCATTTCACAGTCCGATATCATCTGCAGCAGTTCGGAATGGAAGAGAGGGGGAGGGGGGGGGGGGGGGAGATCGAGTCAACTAGAACAAATGGCTGTCACCAAAACAGATGTGTCTAAAGCAAATAACTGTCACCATAGTACGTGTGCTTATAACGAGTATGTCTTGCCACCTACCAGATGTGCTTCTACAGGTTGGGACGGCCGCAGGTTCACCAGCTGCAGCGTTTCCGCCCGCGTCAGTCCAAAAGATGCCGCCCGCTCCGCGCACGCCGCCACCGCCGCCCGCGTCTGGGTGGCGGCAGGGGCGGCACAGAGGTAGCGGTACACCTGGCACTCTATTGCTGCCGGCCCCATGCCGCCCTGTGAGACGTCTACCGCTCCCATGGCTCCCCTGTCTGTCAGTAGTTGAAACACTTCGTGGTTGGTCAAGAGGCCCGCACACGACTGCAGGCTGGAGAAAGGGAGGCATGGAGGGGAGATGGGAAAAGGTTTAGCAGGAGGAGGGCGGAAAGGCAGGAGACACGTTCACCGCTCCCATGGCTCCTCTGTCTGTCAGGAGATCAAACACCTCGTGGTTGGTCAACAGGCCCGCACATGGCTGCAGGCTGGAGAAAGGAGGGGCGGGGAGGGTTGGAGAGAGATAGAGGGAGGGGAAGGAGAGAGGTGGAGGGAGAGAGGTGGAGGGAAATCGCTTTTGCTGGTCAAGGGGAGGCGGTGAGACGGGCCAACTGCAGACACTCACACTTTCATTGTCTTAGTCGCTCTCCAATGGAAAGAGAGCCTTGAGTTGAGACGTCTGTGAGATTACTTTTGAGGCGCCTCAAAAGTTGTCGGAATGAGCGTCTTGACTTGAGACGACAGTAGAATTATGCGATCCTGAGTGAGCTCAGACGTCTTCTATAACATCCACCGGTTTATAACAACACCGGTTTATAAATGGCGGAAATACAACAAAATAGCACTCCTAAATTAGAACTAGGAGTAGGCTGGAACCTCAAAGAGAACTTGGAGATGACCACGAAATAGCCAAGATTTGGCTAAGTCCTTTGTGGTAGAGATAGCAGTTGGAGGACTTAGAGAGGAGGAGGATCCTTCTTCCAATATTGGGTTATTGGGGAAGGAAAGTGAAGAATGAGCTCCAAGAGCCCTCCCACTTCCTAGACCCCTTGGGGTGCAACCACCTCCTCCATGGCCAAGGGGGTGGTGCACCAATTGTGGGCCTTGCCCATGTGGCATGGGTTGGGTTTTCCCAACCAAGGAATTTGTAGTGAGCTGGAATCAGTTTGCTGAGGTGTGCAAACTTATCTTGGGTTGCTAAATGTGCATTGGTTGGAATTGCAGCCAATAGGAACAATTGCTGCCCAACCCAAATCCAACCTGTCACTTGGTGATGGAGTGGTAACCACCACTCCAACCCTATCATCCAAACCTATCTTCCCAACCTTCAATCCCAACCCTATCCAACCCAACCCAACATTCCCAATATGTTCCCGCAACTTCGCGCGCAAGGGGAAACTAGGAACGTCCAGATTAGTCGCGATAGTTAGACTAGGAGGGACGGTTCGTATGGCGATATGTTACACTCCTCCCCCTCCAGCTGGCAACGTCCTCGTTGCCATGGAGTGCTTCTGGGGACGAATGGAACGAGCACGACGGGTCACACTACGACCAGGGTCAACACCATCCACTGGTTGTAGGACCTCGCACTGAGCCAGGCCTTCCAGATAAGACTGAACAGCTGTTTCAGTCAAGTGCTCTTCTGGCTCCCATGAATTGTGTTCAGGCCCGTAGCCTTTCCACTTAATAAGGAACTCTCGTATTGTCTTGCGGCCGCGCTGTCGATCGCGATGCATGAGCACCCGTTCGACCTCATAATAGAGTTCCTCCCCTAGGACGATTGTTGGTGGCGGCAAGTACTTGCCTTCTGCAATGTACTTGCTAAGCAGAGACACGTGGAAGACATTGTGAATCCGCAATGTATCAGGCAGCTTAAGTTTGTAAGCTACAGCACCAACACGCGTGATCACCTCGAAAGGCCCAATCCAACGAGGGAACAGCTTTCGTGCACCAGGGATCTTAAGACGAATGTTTTTCGTACTTAAGAGCACTTTGTCTCCCACCTCATAGGAGATCTCCCGGCGTTTCATGTCAGCATAGGATTTCTGCCGTTGCTGGGCAATCTCGAGCCAGCGACGAGCCGACTTCAAAGCTTCTTGTTGCCGAGCAACAAAGTCCTTGGCGGCAGGTATCTTCAACCCACCGATCCCATGTGTTGCAGGTGTTGTGGGATGCCGACCACAGTTCAGGATGAACGGTTTCTCTCGCGTGCTATCATGCACTGAGTTGTTGACTGCGAACTCAACCAAGGGCAGTAACTCATCCCAGTCATCCTGCATTGGGCTTATAAATGAACGAAGCATTTGCTCAAGGGTGCGATTTGTCCGTTCTGTTTGTCCATCCGTCTGTGGATGGAAGGCAGACGACATCTTGAGCTTCGTCCCGAGTTTCCGAGTCACCTCCTGCCAGAACCGGCTTGTGAAGCGGGGATCTCGATCGGACACTAACACACGAGGTAGTCCGTGCAAGCGGAAAATGTGCGACACAAACAACCTAGCCGTATCCTCTGCCGATACGTCCGTTGTTGTGGGCACGAAGTGCACCATCTTGGTCAGACGATCCACGAATACCAAGATCGCCGTGTGACCCTCTCGTGTCTTGGGAAGGTCAGTGATGAAATCCAATGACACGCTTTCCCAAGGCTCGTCGGGGATTTCGAGCGGTTGAAGCAGACCGCCAGGCTTTTGTGTGTCCGGTTTGTTTCTTGCGCACGCATCGCAACGTGCGACAAACTGCTGGACATCTTTGCCCACCCCTGGCCACCAGTATACCTCACGCAGTATCCACCGGGTTTTGTTTATTCCCAGGTGACCGTTGTAACGAGTGGTATGCACTTCGGTCAAAATGTCATTCCGTAGACCGCCAACGTGTGGTACCACGATCTCTTTGCCATGCCACCAGAGCTCATGCTCCCAAACGAGAGCCTTCATGTTCTGTGGGTTCTGAAACCAGGAATCGATATGATAACCTGCGCGGATTCGTTTCAGAAAACCACTGAAGGTAATCTCGCTCACTTTCGCCACGGCGAGGACATTGAAACAGGCCGCGAAAACGGTCGCATGTTCCGTGTCACTTAGCCCCGTTGCTTCCCCAATCGGCTGTCTGCTGAGGGGGTCAGCTAGGTTCGTGGCACCTGCACGATAACGAATCTCGAAGGTGAACCCGCTGAGGAGTTCAGCCCAACGAGCTTGGCGTCGAGTGAGTGTGGTTTGCGTAGAGAAATAGGTGTTGGGACAGTGGTCCGTTGTAACCACAAAGTCCACACCTTCTAGGTAGCACCGCCATGTTCGAAGCGCGTGGACCACAGCAAGCAGTTCTTGCTCAGTTGTGGTATAGCGCTGCTCCGCCGGGGAGAGCTTTCGACTCTCAAATGCCACAGGGCGTCCTTCTTGTAAGAGCACTGCTCCAATACCCACCGTCGAAGCATCGGTGACCACTTCGTACGGCTTGCCTGGGTCTGGCAGGACCAGTACAGGAGCGCTCGTCAATCGTCGTTTAACCTCCTCAAAGGCCTGTTGGCACTCGGAGGTCCACTCCCATGCCCAACCTTTGCGAGTTAGTGCTGTGAGTGGCGCGACGATAGTGGAGTAGTTTTCCAAGAAGCGACGGAAATAATTCGCAAGTCCAAGGAATGACCGGACCTGTCCCACGTCTTGAGGAACAGGCCACTCCTGGACCGCAGTCACCTTCTTGGGATCAACCTTGAGTCCATTGTTGCCAACAATGTGACCAAGGTACTCGAGCTCGCGCTTATAGAAATGGCATTTCCAAAGCCGTGCAAAATACTTGTGCTCTCGGAGCTTCCCCAACACCCATTTTAGGTGTTGAGTATGCTCAGCTTCGGTTTTTGAGTATACCAGGATATCATCAAGGTATACCAGCACGAATTCACCGAGTGCCTCACGGAACACGTCATTCATTGCTCGCTGAAAGGATGCAGGAGCATTGGTCAATCCAAAGCTTAGCACACGCCATTGAAAATGGCCAAAAGGCGTCCGAAAGGCCGTTTTCGGCACGTCTTCGTCTGTTATACGCAACTGGTGGTAACCTTGAGCAAGGTCCAGTGCGCTAAACCATTGTGCCCCTTGCAAACGATCAAATAGATCTTCAATCCGAGGAAGCGGATATCTATTCTTGATCGTAATCTTGTTCAAGGCTCGGTAATCAACGCACATGCGTAGGCCACCTCCTTTCTTATGAACGAACAAGATTGGAGCACCATAGGGAGATGCGCTCGGTTCAATCCATCCCTTATCGAGGTAATCCTTGATTTGCAGTTTAGCCTCTTCGTACTCAGCTGGACTGAGGCGATACAGAGGTCTAAACGGTGGAGCCTTCCCTGGTTCCACTGGAATGGTGTGTCCGACTGCGCGATCTGGAGGTAGGCCTTCAGGGATAGGCTCAAATACCTCATTGTACTCTTCCGCCAACGCTTTCATTTGAGGAGGAAAATCCTCAATGACTTGCGAAAGAGCATCATCGTGATCAATTTGGATAATGAACAGAGTATCTGCCTCTTTCACACATCCTTTGAATTGGTTGGCTAACGCAAAGCTCACATCAGAGACGTTTGCGTCTGGACCCTCACTTCTTGTATCAGGTGCAGGAACCTTCCATTCCACTTTCTCGTCACCGTTCATGAACGATAGAGTGTTGTCCTGAAAGTTCAAGATAACTTCATTGGGCCGCAACCAATCCATTCCTAGGACAAGGTCTACCCCTGCTAGCAAAGGTAAGGCAAATACCCGAATAGTTTCGTGGTACTCTGACACCTCTAGGTTGATTGTTGCATATCCCTGACTTGGGATAACGCGATCATCGCCCAATCGAATTGGGCAGGATGGTCCCTCAATAAGAACACCATATTGGTCCACCCATTTCTCGTCAATAAGTGAGGCTGTTGCCCCAGTATCGACAAGAATCTTGGCAATTTTTCCATTGATGCGACCGGCAAACAACAAATTTTGTTGGTGCTTGGGTCGGATCGGGCAAGCCACAACATTGGTTGGAGGCAAATAATATGCCCGAACCTTGTGCTTGCTGCGTCCGTATGCATGGGCGTTTGACCACCACACATGGTGTCCTTTTTGCCATTCGGCAATGACAGTCCATCCTTTAAGCATGTGAAAACTACTGCCATTCGGAGGGCGAGTCACCAATCCAACTGCAGTTAGAGGGTGCTCCTGGGTGCAACGACCCACAATTTCCATAATCGACGGCAGCGATTCCAAATTGCAACAAATAACTGAAAAGCTATCTCTTAAAGCTTCAGTTGTTACTTCCTCTAGTGGGTGCAATCGAGAGGCAAACAAAGAAGATTCACTCAAAGAAGGTGCAAACACACAAGAAATCTTGCCGCTAGCAAGTTTCTCAAGCTTTAGCAAATCCTCATCACGCAAGGCAATAGTTTCATCCCCTCGATCTACCAAGCCAGCTAGGTACCCACACCCTAGTTGGTCTTCTGAAAACCCTGGCGCTGGCCAGAAGGGCCGGCCTCGTTAGTCTTGAGACCACCCTTCCCCTTGGTAGCACCCTTTCCTGCCTCATTCTGAGGGCAAACATTTGCGAAGTGGCCAGGCTCGCCACAACCAAAACAACGCTTAGGTCCCTCCCCCTTGCCAGCGGGACCCTTAGGGCCCCCACCATTGGGCTTCTTGAAGTGGTGCCCATTCTGATGTCCCTGCTGGGGGTAGGGCCTCTTGTTCTTGCCATTATTCCACCTCTGGGGCTGCTGCCTTCCCCCTGAGACGCCAGGCCCAGGAGGAGGCCTGCACGCCTCCGGGGGTTGGTTAACTTTTGCGTAAGCGCGGAAATGCACATCCGTGTTCGCAGCAGCTTTCTTCAGCTCCCCATAGCTCTGCCACTGCTCGCCCTTACCATCCATCATGTGCAAGCTCTGGATGTGCGCTGGCAAGCCCTTAAAGAACAAGAAGACCTTCTCACTCTCAGTGAGCTGATCATCCGTCTTCAACAGCAGCATGGTTTCCTCGAACTCATTCGCATACAGCTGTACGGGGCGGTTTCCGCACCTGAGCGCCTCAAGGCGACCGCGCACCTCCAGGAGCGTTGGCTGCACCTGGAAGGCCTGCCTGAGGGCAGCAGCAAATTCAGCCCAGCCAAAAGGCTCGCCATTTGCCAACGCGTGCCTCTTGCGGCCATACGCCAATTTGCGTGCCGTCTCATCCAAAGCAGTGGTTGCGGCAACGACGCGAGCTTCGGCACGCACGTTATGGACAAGCAAGAACTCATCCGCCATGGTAAGCCATGCTTCCACATCCATTTTGCCATGGACAAACTGGGGCAGGGTCATAGGGAACGTGCCAAGCGCCGAAGAGGGTTGCCCATTTGTAGCAACAGCCGCAGGCGCCTCCGAAGGGCGTTCCTGCTCGGAACTAGCACCAGCAGATGCCTCAGCTGCCTGTGCAAGGTGGTACATGGTACCCCTCCTCAGCTGCTTGATGAGGTTCTGCATCTCTGCAATAGCAGCTGAGTGCTTAGCCAACTTCTTGATATTGTCCCGAGCATCATGACGTGCCAGGTTCAGATCCGCCATCAGGTTGTGGATCTTGCTGTCTTGCGTTGACAGCTTGCTCCTCAGCTGGTCAATAAGGACCTGTTGCTGGATCAAGGTGATATTCTGGTTGGAGAGGTGAGCCTGCATCTGTTTGACTTCCTCAGACAGCAACTCCTCCTCTCCCCCAAGGTCCAAGTCTTCCTCCTCTTCAGGAGAAGAAACAGAGGCACCATTACTCTCCTTAACAGGAGCAGATTGGTCAGCCATCACCTCATCAGCATTAAGATCAATGCCAGTAGCAGCATTCTCCACCTCATCAAGGTTAACAGCATCACCACTAGTGACATTGTTGGTAGAAGCCATTGCTGAAGAGCAAAGAGAAATAATGCCCACGTACAAAGGGGAGATGAACAGATCTATAATCACCACTGTGATAAGCCAAGAAATTCTTAACAAATTAAGAATTTTCTGCAATAGATCTGAACATGACAAATGTCAATCTCCCAAGAGGAACAGATCTGTTGAAAATGCTTTTACCACCACTGTGGATAAAGCCAATCAATCACAAATTCCCCAACTGGAAATTGTGAACGATTTTCAACAATCTCTTTCACCCAAAAGGTGAGAAACAGCAAGATCTTTCCAGATCTGCCACACAACCGTTATTCCCTCTGGAATAAGGTTAAGTCTCAACGAGACTTCACTTGATGCTTGAAGGCTTGAATACTTCAACCGTGAAACTTCAGTCAAGTAGTCCTAAAGAGTCACCAGCAACACTGGCCTCAATGACTACCCACTACCAGAAGCTGCACAAGCACCAAGTCCCGAAAAAGAAAAATTTGCCCACAAGGACAAGATGAAACTAGCTCTGAAACCAATTATAACATCCACCGGTTTATAACAACACCGGTTTATAAATGGCGGAAATACAACAAAATAGCACTCCTAAATTAGAACTAGGAGTAGGCTGGAACCTCAAAGAGAACTTGGAGATGACCACGAAATAGCCAAGATTTGGCTAAGTCCTTTGTGGTAGAGATAGCAGTTGGAGGACTTAGAGAGGAGGAGGATCCTTCTTCCAATATTGGGTTATTGGGGAAGGAAAGTGAAGAATGAGCTCCAAGAGCCCTCCCACTTCCTAGACCCCTTGGGGTGCAACCACCTCCTCCATGGCCAAGGGGGTGGTGCACCAATTGTGGGCCTTGCCCATGTGGCATGGGTTGGGTTTTCCCAACCAAGGAATTTGTAGTGAGCTGGAATCAGTTTGCTGAGGTGTGCAAACTTATCTTGGGTTGCTAAATGTGCATTGGTTGGAATTGCAGCCAATAGGAACAATTGCTGCCCAACCCAAATCCAACCTGTCACTTGGTGATGGAGTGGTAACCACCACTCCAACCCTATCATCCAAACCTATCTTCCCAACCTTCAATCCCAACCCTATCCAACCCAACCCAACATTCCCAATATGTTCCCGCAACTTCGCGCGCAAGGGGAAACTAGGAACGTCCAGATTAGTCGCGATAGTTAGACTAGGAGGGACGGTTCGTATGGCGATATGTTACATCTTCAATTCCGTTCCCCTACTGCTCAAGTGGACAGCGAGCTGAGACGCGACTGGCGGTGAATAAATCTTCGCACGCGACGAAACGCGCGACCATCGCGCAATTTACGATTCGCACAACAAACACCACAACATGATTCGATAAAAGGTGGTGGTGAGAAGTGCTAGCGGACTGGTCGTGAAATTTTGACCTCCATTGTCTTGAGACGATCACGAAGCAAACCCTAAAACAAATGCAGAAGCAGCAGATATTGGAGATACTGTACCGCAAAATTAGCCCAAATAAGGGGTTGGGGGCAGGGCTCTCGTTGTCCGGGTAATTACCCTGCTTACTCAAGGAAAACAGGGTGATTTTTATGTACTACCCTGATTTCTACGCATCCAGATTTGAAGTACACGTCCACTAGCAGACTAGGCAACAACATTCCACGTCCGATTTCCGAGTAGTGGAATGTATCGCCCTGTAACATCCGCCTGTAAGGCCTGGGTACCCGGCTAAAAACCCATCTTCTCCGTTGAGGGAGGGATCCGGGCAAAACCTGCTCCCGAAATCCCTAGTGGCCCTTTTGGGTTTTCGGCAAACGCGCCACACCCTGATTGGATGTTACAGATTCCCCAACCAAGCCTCTCTAACTCAAACTCGTTTTGCCCAACCAAGCCTCTCTCAACCAATCTCATTTCCCCCAACCGAGCCTCTCTGAACCAATCTCATTTCCCCCAACCGAGCCTCTCTGAACCAAACTAATTTCCCCCAACCGAGCCTCTCTGAACCAAACTAATTTCCCCCAAATATTGTACTGGTTCATACAGGTGGGCCATTTGATACCAGTGGGTAGGGTGCATATTTTGTAGTTGGTAATAAATTGGTGAAGTGCTGGTTGTGGTTGTAATCAATCGTATGTTGGTTATTGGTTGTAACACAATGCGGCTTAAAATAACATCGAAGCACTAGTAGATGAAATCGGTGAAAGGAAGTGAACGCGACACTGAAACCCTGCACGTGCCGAGAAACCCCCAAAACTGCCCTGCAAAAACAGTCAACATTTTCGGGGTTACCCAGCTTGGACGAGTTGGTTGCGGGACTAACTCGGATTTTGGGGGGGGAGTGTTTGGGGGGAAGAGGCGACAAAAATCTTGATGCAGTCTGGATTTGTTCCGCCCAGCAGTGGTAACCGAAAATAAAGCTCGTTGATCGCCCTGGTCGGACCACCTCATCGCCAGAAGTCGCCAGGCACTCAGGTGGGCTTCGGGGAAAGCTGGGTTTGTCGCAGCAACCTCACCCACTCCCCCCGTCTCGTTCACTCCACCCGAAAGTCCGTCGACTTTGCCTCACCATGCTCGCTCACGGTAATCGAAGTCCGTAACCTCAGTTCGCCGTGCGTCGCAATTTTCCCCTCAGACCGCACTGACACGAGCCGAATCGCGGACTGCAAAGTTGGAAATATATAAAATTGGATCGAGCAGAATGTCAAACCACATCAAGCAAATTGAAACCTGGTTCCTCCACCCCCAGGCCAAACCCTCGCCCCGCTACCTTGTTTTCTGACCTCAGTCCCAGCAGACACTGCTACCACTAGTAGAGGTATTTGTAGTACTTCCACTTGAATTCAGCGTCGAATTCTCTTCGACGCGCAACAAGCTAACGCGATATCCGCGTTGGACGGGCATCATGGCGAAACCACGGATCACAGCGGCCCCACTCATAATTCTCGTTCTGCTGATCGGCGCGTCCTCGGCCCACCTCGCAACAGCAACCGTCACGAGTGGTAATAATGTTTCCAAGGCCTCTCAGGACGTGCCGAACGTCCCTAATAAGGACAAAGGCTCCTTCTCGCCCCATGCTTCCAAGCATACTCAAGCTCAACTGCATGAAGACGGCGCCGACGCCGACGTTGAAAAATATCATGTTCCTCCGACGCATCGTCCGATAATGAACCATCATGCCGATCATGCCGATCATGCCGATCATGCCGATCATTCCGATCATGCCGATCATGCCGAAAGTGTCATCCCCACTCCGAAGGCTCTTCAGAAAATCGACGCTGCTCACGCGCCTATGCCGCCGTATCCCGCTGGTCCGCCCCATCCCGCTGATCCGGCCAAGCCGCCCGCTGGTGCGCCCCATCCCGCTGGTTCTGGAGGCAAGGCATCTGGGAAGAGCGCAGCTCGTGGCGAAGGCGCACATCCCAAGGTCGCAGCTAATAACGTCACAAGCGCTCCAGGAAAGGGCGGAGCACGTAAGGGCGCCGCAGGAAAGGGCGCCGCAGGCAAGGGCGCGGGCGCATCAAGCAACGGCTCAGCTGGAAAGGGCGCACGCGGCGTCAAGCAGGACGGCGGCCGAAACGGGAATGGCGCTTCGAGAGGGTTCCACAACGCAGCATCAGCCGGGAATGTGGCGATTCACAACACGAGCACAAACGGCACAACTGCTATGTCGGCTAGCGGCACGCTGACTACAACGGCGGGAAACAGCACGAACGGCACCGTGCCGCTCACAATGGCGGCAAACGGAGTGAATTGCACAAACGGGACGTCTACGATGGCTCCGAACAGCACGAACGCGGACGGCACGAACGACTCGAACAGCACTGTGCCATTTATAATGGCGCCAAACGGCGCGAACTGCACAAACGTCTACGATGGCTCCGAATAGCACGAACGCGGACGGCACGTTTACCATGGCAGCAAATGACACGAACACAAACGGCACCGTGCCAAACAGCAATCCCAAGACGAGCCAGCACCACACGGGGATTCACAGGGCATCGGCAAAGGACGTGGCGATTCTGCACAAGAATCAGAACCATGGCGCTGCCGCAGTGGCGCCATCTGCCAATCCCAAGTCGAGCCGCTGGCAGCACCGAGTGGGAATTCACAAGTCATCGGCCAAGGATGTGGCGATGACTCGGCACAGAAATCAGAATCATGGCGCCGCACACGCCACGGCGTCATCCACCGGCAATCCCAAGGCGAGCCAGCACCGCGCGGGAATTCACAAGTCATCATCGGCCAAGGATGTGGCGATGACTCGTCAAAGAAACTCGGCGAATCGCGGTGCCACAGCCAAGGCGTCATCCCATCCCGACAACTCCAAGTCAAACGCACGCGGCATGGGAATCCACAAGGCATCAGCTGTCGATGTGGCAATTCGGCACAGAAATCAGGCGAGTCGTGGCGCCGCAGCCATGGCGTCATCCCATCCCGGCAACTCCAAGGCAAACGGACGCGGCGTGGGCTTCCACAAGGCATCAGCCGAGGATGCGCCAGTTACTCACAGGTCCACGCCACTGCTGAAAGAAGGCCAGGACGGCAGGAAGCAGAACGGCGTTGAAAACGGCAGGAAGGGCGCCATGAGGGTGTCAACGCGCGGCGAGACTAGCTTCAACGACCGGTTTGAGCTTGAGGGGGTGGAGTTTCACAAGGCGACGAGCGACGATGTGGCTCTTCACAGGAGGAACCGTGGTGCTGAAAGGAGCAGCAGCAGGCACGGAGTGAATCGCGGGGCTGAGCGGCTTGGCTCCCTTTCATCTGCACAGGGCAAGACCGCTGATTACGGTGGTGACTACAATGATGATTATGGCGGTGGTCACTACAATGGTGATTATGCCGGTGGTCACTACAGTGGTGATAATGGTGGTGACTACAGTGGTGAATACAGTGGTGATAATGGCAGTGGTGGTGACTATAGCGACGGTGACAGCGGTGGTGGTGACAGCGGCAGCGGCGGCAGCAGCGGCAGCATTGACATTGCTGCGATTCTCGACATGCACAACGCCGCCCGGCGGGAGGTATGCGTCCTGGACCTGGCATGGGACGACGGTGTGGCAGCAGCGGCGCAAGACTGGGCCAACAACCTCGCCTCCAGGGGGTGCCCCTTGGAGCACGGCGGAGCAGATGGGCTCGGGCAGAACTTGTACTGGCGCGCGCCGGCGGGGTTGACCCCTGAGGAAGATCGCATGGCTGTGCAGTCATGGGTGGATGAGAAGGCGGACTGGACGTATAGCCCCGTACCCGAGGGGTGTGCGGAGGGGAGGATGTGTGGGCACTACACGCAGGTGGTGTGGGGGGAGACGACGCATGTGGGGTGCGCGTCGGCACAATGCCCGGATGGTGGCGGCATATGGGTGTGCGATTACTCGCCCCAAGGGAACGTCATCGGTTCCACTCCTTTCTAGGTTGCTTGAAAGGAAAAGAGAGGATCGTTCGCCCACAGGCGGCATCATTGAGTCTATTCCTTACTTGAGTGGCAGTCTGGCATATGTGTTTTGGGGTAATACGGTAGGAGCCTATTATGAGCTGGTGCAGTGAGCCTTCTTGTGAATGCAGTTCAGAAGGGAAGGGATGTTGCATTTTTGGCTTTTGTGTACATGGAATTGTGCTTAGTGGCTCGTTTTTGTGTGAAAGATTGTCCATCACTAAGTGCTGTCAGCAAAGTATCACCGCACATTGGTGAAAAAAACCATACCATGAAGAATGCAAAGTAGAGGCATCTTAGGGTCCATTCCTACGGGCCTTTCGTTGCGGCAGTTTATGAAGTGACGAAAGGTTCCAGTCTATTCTGCCACTCGTCAGTCTAGCGCGCCGCTGCTGTGCGAATCTTGTATCAACCCTATTGCGTACCGCAATGTCCGCTACTTGAAACAACCAACTGGAAACCAACCCGTGACAGTTGCGAACTACCGCATGCTCCCAAATGTCGGGAGCGGAATATCCCTCCCTGCCAGCAATCCCAAGCTGGGCAGCCCGAGGAACATGGGGTGGAGGAGTGCGTACATTGGTATCTCTCGTCCTTCTTTGCTTTCTGTGATTTCCTTGCGCACTTTCGAGAGCGTATTGCTCGTGAAGAGCAATTTTCTGTGTGTATGCTGCGCTGTTACGTTTTGCATGGGTTCAGCTAAATTTCGGCTTTGGAAATTTGTGGTTGGACATGTGCAGCTATCAAAGTTTGGACTTCGGAATCAACAAGACATCGGTTGCCACCTGGCGTCGCAGGGAGGTCGCATCTGGTCGCCCACCAAAAACGCAAGGTAACGAGAAGTTGGGATAAACTGCCGCACGACTCTGGAAATGTACACCAAACCGAGGAAAGGTAAACTGCCGGAGCGCGTAGGAATGCGCCCTTAGTAGACTGCAGAGTTAGGGTATGATGGGTTACCTTGCAGTTGAGTGTGGTAAATGGTCGACATTTTGCAGTAGTTTCCTCTGTCGTCCATATAACACTCTTCGTTACTTATTCTACTCTCATTTTCCCTCATTCTGATCCAGCGGCCTGTCCCTGGTGCAATCTCTTCCTTAGCCCTTGAGACTACCGATCTTACGACTAGGTCGCCAGACACTAGCAGCGAGAAATCGGGTCGCTGGAAACTAAACTGCGGAATTACGTTGCGAGGAAATACATTGCGACGAACAAGTTCACTAGACGTTAGTCCAAGTGAACGAGGCTCGCGAGATATAAAATAGTTCCCAATAAGTTGGTTTTTCCTCACAAACTAGTCCGCAAGAGATCAGTCTAAAAGAATTCTGTTCTCAGAAAACTAGTAAGTCTAAGCGGAACCAGCTTGCTGGTTGCGAGGAGCTACTTAGCGAGTAGCTGGTTCGTTGAGAATTAGTCCGGGCGGATCCAACCAGCTCGCTTTCTCGCACAGTAGTCCGCCATGGATCGCAAATGGGGGAGCAAGCCCGGCAGTAAAGGCGCGGCGTCGGCGCAGAGTGAGGCGATCGACCAGCGGGAGCGGCTACGATGGCTGGCGATGGAAACCATTGACCTCACGAACGACCCTTATTTCATGGAGAACCACCTCGGGAGGTATGTGGGCTAAAATTTTCGTCACTAGAAAGTCAAACGAAAGTCTATCAGCCCAGAGCGAGGCGATCGACCGGTGGGAGCGGCTTGTGAGTCGACTCTAGTGTCCAAACTAGAAAGGCAAAGGTCTCCCAGGTGTTGGCGCAGAGAAAGGCAATCGACCGGCGGGAGCGGCTGCAACAGTGGCGCTCGAAACGATCGATCTCGCCAAGGACCCTACTTCATGCGGAACCGCCTCGGAAGGTTCGTTTTCAGATCGTCGATCCAAGAACCCCTTTTTTTCAGCCGAAACCTTTTCCGGAGGTTTGTCGGCGCTGGAGTATGCGAGGTAGAAGAGCCCCCCCTCCCCTTCCCCCCCCTCTCCTCCGATGAACGCCCTCGACGGCAGAGATGAAGACGTAACTCTAGCGGGGCTTCATTCGGCAGAAGATCGTGCCACAAATCCAGATAGTCGTTGGGACATTGCGAAGATGCCTGTTCCTGTGGCCTTGAAGATTCGGAAGGGCCCCGCAGTGAAGGTGGCGATGGACAAGGAGATGCACACTCTGTGGGAGCAAGAAACTTGGGATTTGGTTTAGCATCAATATGATGGGAAATCACTGGGTTCTTGCTACCAAGTAACTCTCCGACGATACGGTAGAGAGAGAGTAGAGACGTCTTGTTGTTCAAGGCTTCACGCAGCTGCCCGACTATGACCTGACCTATGCTCCCGTCGGCAGCTATGGAACTGCTCTTTTGCATTTAGTCATTTGACTGGGAGCTGATGAAGTTGGACAAGACGAATGCCTTTCTGAATGCCCCAATCGATCGTCCTCTGTACATGAAGCAGCCACAGTTCTACGACGGTGGAACTGGTAGAGTCTGTCTGCTGAAGAAGAGCCTCTACGGACTTAAGCAGAGTCCTAAGCTGTGGTACGAAGAGGTCGATGGCGTTTTGCAGGGCGGAGGCTGGTCGAAGAGTCAGGTCGACGCAGCCTTCTATTTCCAAGTGCTATCTGCTCATCTACAGCGACGGAAAGTATTGTCCACATGTTTGTGACTTAGAGGAATTTTGCCATTTTAGAGGGTCATGGACATTAAGCCTTAATCTTCTGGTGTGCCTAGTGTATGTAGGTTGGGGTAAGGCTCCACGCCCATGCCTTACATCACACAAGTATAATGATGTTTACAACAAATACTAGAAAATAACAATCTTGGTACATGTGGACAATTATTGTCAGGCGCAAGCAGCAAGTTACATCAACCCCAAACTAGTACCTAATCCACTGCCCTTTCGCCTTAGACACCGCCCTCACCCTCCTGGGCATGCTTTCCACCAGGTGGGTGCACACATCTGCCGGGATCTTCTCCCATTTCTCCTGCACCCGCTCCCAAAGGTCCAGCATACTAGTGGGAGGCTTTTAAGGCTTGGCCAGCTGCCTCTTGAGATGAGCCCATAAATGCTCCATTGGGTTGAGGTCGGGTGAGGAAGACGACCACTCTAGCACCCCTGAATGTTACTCTCAAAGCCACTCCTGTACGATACGCGACTTGTGCTTCGGGTCATTGTCATGCTGGAAGATAGTTTTTGAGGGTGTAAGCTGGTAAAGCTCAATCGTACTGTTGAGATCGTCCTGCAGTATACTCAGCGAGAGCAGTCGGTCCACCCTACCATATGTTTTGCTCATGAAACCCGCTCCCTTTTACGACATGCAGTCGTAAATTATCAAGCAACCGCCCCCGTGTTTGACGGTCTGCTTGATTTGGTGTCTTTGGAGGGCAGTCCCTTCGTGAACGCAGGCGTATGAGAGTCAGTCGGATGCAAGACGATCGATCTTGGTCTCATCCGCACAGAAAACTCGCTTCTAGTCGTCAACCGTCCAGTCTGCGTGGGCACGCGCCCATTCTAGCCTATCGCGTATGTTTTTCCGAGAGTGTCGCGGCTTCTTGGGATGCTTGATTGCGACAAGTCGGCTCCCATTATAAGCGTTACGCAAGGTCTTAGGATGCAACGTGATGCCGTGCTGCTTCTCAACGATTTTCGCCACGTGAGCGGAGATTTCGGCCTCCTCGAGGGTAATCGACCGAACTATGCCGCGGTGAACTCTCTTTGTCACTAAGCGAGGGCGACCGGCTGAGGGCATCGTAGGACGCACGTCATCGCGGCTAGACTCTACAATCGCCTTGATGGGCCGAACTCTTCCCTATGGCTAGCTGTTTAGCGATTCAACGATTGCTCTACCCCCTCCGCAACAAGGGAATTATCTATCCGTAGAGCGCCTCATCTAACGGTTTCATGACGGCCTAATCATCGCAGCGGTCCTAGCCTATCTCCTGACTACTCGATAGTCGCGAGGGCAAATAAGAACAAATAGCGAGGTTAGGAAATAGATCTACTACGCTGCTTGGCCTAAACTGTCCGGATGCACCCACGCGGACGAAATCTCGTCCTCGGTAAAAAATCGACCCCTATAAAACTGAAACCAGCATCCGTCACATACAGTACAGTACTACTTTACATCCAACCCCGAAATTTGATTCGTAACTAAACAAAGAAGGCACCAAACCAGTACGAGAAGTGTTTTAAGGCAATTATCCGGGCAATACTTTCCGTCGCTGTACATCGGCGATCTTCTGGCTACAAGTCGGAGCAAGACGCATTTTGGCACAATTAAAGGCTCTGCTCGAGAAGGCGTTCAAGCTTCCAGAGGTTGTGCGCAAAAAGCGCTTCTACAGGCAACCCAGTGGCAGAATCGAAATTCGGCATGCGCTATAGAAAGGGCCCTATGCGCACTGCAGGAGATTTGCCATCTTCTATGGGAGGTCTACAGAAAGAGTTCGGAGCTCTCTTCTGTGGGCTCTGCAGAAAGAGATCGCGAAACGCTCTTCTGCGAACGGTCCTTCGGCATAAACACCTTTCTGGCAAGAAGAGGCCGTTCCGAAAGTGCGCGAACTTCCACCCCTTTGAAGGCTGTAAGTGCTGAGTTCGATGCTGTAACATCATGTACACTGACACGCTCGATTGGTCCACGCTCATCACCTGAAACTGTTAAGCAACTACTTTTGGGTTGGTGAAAATTACCAACTAAGAATGTGCTATAATTTTCACCTGCCATTGCTGACTTGGCTAAGTGCAGTTCAAAGTAGTTATGTAAACGTTCTAGTAGGAACGTTCTAGCGGTGTTCAATGAGGTAGTATTAGTGATTGCCTTTGTACCATCTGTTGTATTCTTGATTCTAGTGAATTTGTGTGTGCAAGCTTTCTCAAGCTACCGTATGAGACAAACAATTTTGAAGGCAACTCTCTCCTTAGAGATCTACAGAGCTAGAGTAGCTCTATCTGCATTAGGCACTTCCGCAGAAAGCTCCCGTTATAGCAGAAAACTCTGCACGGCTCGCCCTCGAGTCAACCCCAGGAAGACAGGTGAGAACATAGCTAGCTTGTACGATGATTTTGGAGTGAAATAATAGTTGCCTGGGCGGGTGCTTTGCTTTGGCCCCATGGCAGAGATGCCTCTGAACGTCGTTGGCCTACTTGCGGTCATCCAGGCGGTGGTTTGACACATGATGGAGCAGGTGACGCGATTGATACCTCATACAGCAGTA